CCACGTATTCTTCTGTGGCCCATTCGGAAAGGAAGTCCCACCAACCCTTCCATCCTTGCTGGGAAGTACCACCAGTCATATTCGGTTAGGGCACACACTACTGACCTCATTTTAACTGAATTACTTCTTTAAAGATCCTATCTCCAAGTATAGTCGCATCTGAGATACTGAGAATTCAACATATGAACTTGGGGAGGGGACACTTTCAGCCTGTAACACATATATGTGGATTATGTCCTCACTGCCAAAATGTAAGTCTCTCAGTAGAAGGGATCTAGTCTGTTTGGTTTGATGCTATGTCCAAAGCACTCAGACTGGTACCTGGTATGTAGTTAGTGCTCAGTATTTGCTCAAAAAATGAAGAAACCTGAATAGTTTAGGTATCTTTAGAATTAAGATAGTTTGGATATCTAACAGACTCTGATGACCGATAATACATGAAACACAAGGCAGAAAGAGTCTCAGCTGGTTTCTAGCTTAAATAATTGAATGTCTAGTGATGCCCCTCAACATGACAGGGAATGCACACAAAAAAGGATCAGGGTTTGGGGAAAAAGCTTTGGGCATATTGAGTTAGAGATACTTGAAATACATTCAAGTGGAAAAGTCAAAGAGACCTTTGGATACATGGCATGTAGAGAATACAGTGGCGAAATCTTGGTTAAAAATACAGATTTGGAAGATCATCAGTTCACAGTAAGTGCTGAAATCAGATGGCAAATGAGATCACCCAAAAAAACATACATAGGAAGAGACCTAGTGTAAAAGCAAGAAAAATACTAATGTTTAAAGGTTGGGTAGAGAAAGCAAAGCTTGTTTAAGAAGAGAATGAGGAAAGTGAGAAGTAGGCATCATAGAATCAGAGGAAGAAAAACTATTGAAAGTAATGGTCACCTATGTCAAAGGATAAGGAGAAGTCCTTCTCAAAGGCTGTGCCAGGGAATAATCCTCCCATGAAATAATGTTTGGAACAAGATTACCTGCTTAACTAAATGTGAGAAATGTCTTGCAGAATCACAAGATAATTTAGCCTATTAATGTCCGGAGAAATCTTGGTAGAAAGAAACCTATACATTTTAACTTCTAATGTTAAGTTCCCAAAGCTTATGTTTGACCTTAAATCTCTCTCCTTTCTTCTTACGTAACTATGCTTAATAATAGCACACAGAACCGGAGTCCCAAGGAATACTCTTTGGAAAACAATAAGACAGCATAATTAACAAGATAAGTGTTGGAAATAGCCCTTTGCGTTTGACAATTAGGTGGTTTTGTTATCATCACTGAAGTGGTTTCTGCTGAGTGATGGAGTCTGAAGGTATAGAGCTAAAGCAGGAAGCACAATCTGCTCATTCTATAAGCTTGACCTAAAGGAGGAGGCTAAAAGAAAAAAAGGGCAGTATCTTGCTTGCATGATGTGTAATGTTAAATAAATATGTATTGGATGGGAAGGACACAGCTAAGTTTATAGACAACAGACACATTGAGAAATGGTAGCAAGAGAAGTTGAATAGTCAGCAGAACAAGGTCTACAAAGAGATAGGAGAAACTGAGATCAGAAGTAAGTCCTCCCCTTTCCTGAAGACTGGAAGAAGGAAGGAGAAGATACAGTTGTCTCTGTAGGATAAGATTGAGAAAGCCCATGATAATCTCAGTTCCTCAGATAAGAACATATACGCAGAGTTTGTCTTGGGTGCTGAAATAAAAAAAAACTATCCCATATCCCTCCCCCTAAAAAAGCTCATGTGTGATCTTGCTCGTGTAAAAGTCCTCCAAATGTTACCACTACTGCTATGGTCAGGAAGTCACTTCTGCTTTGGACTCAGGTAGGAATCGTTTTCCTGGGCCTTTAATCTTCTAGTTTCCCCAGAGGCAGAGATCTGTCCTATGTATGCATTTCTGTCTCCCCACTGCCTTTCACAAAATGGGTGCTATGAACATGGAATGATTAGCGAGCAACAGACAGCATCACATTCTGCCCATAATTGAGAATTCAATGCATTGCATTATTATAGTCTGAAGAATCCTAGTACCAGGGTGTGGTTACACAGTATAGTTTTGGACACTTTCCGTGGTGAGGCTTTCACTGAGAATTCTCCAGGTCCGATTTCTTCTTGTTCAGCCGTCATTGTCGATGCACCAGTTGATACCATCCCAGCTTTCTTTGCCTGGTTGTCTCAAGTATGTTGTCTGTGTAGTTCTGTGTGCAAAGCATTTATCAGAGAGCAAAGCACATAATTAAAGCTCAATAATTGATAGATTGTGATGATAGTAATCGTTACCATTATAATAGATTCAAACCCCAACCGAAGAGAGCTTCATTATCAAGATGCAAAGTTTTATATTTCTTACTTACCTAGGTACTGTTCTACTTCTTAACCTTTTTTCCCACAAAACTTTTTTTCTTATTAACTATCTACTTCTTTTCATGTTCCTTACCTAATTTTTCACCACCAGATCTCTTATTTATCCTTATGTATTCAGTATATTTGTTTGCTTAATAAAAATTTTATGCTTTGATTTTTTTTTTCATCCCCAGTATTTTTCTTATTTTCCTCTTTCTTAATTATAAGCTGTTTGGTCTAAAGTTAACATCTTTTTATTCACTTCTCCAATTATCAGTTGCCAGCTAGAAACCTGAGAGCCACCTTTTTTTTCTCGTAGTACTTAACAAATATTGGTTTGTTGAGAACTTACTATGCACCAACTACTATTCCAGGCACTAAAGATACGAACGTGATAAAAATGTCATCGTCGTTAGGGAGCTTATATTCTAGTGAAGGATTCAGGCAGTGAGTAAGTGAAGATTAGGTAGTTAATAAAGTCGCAGACATGTAGAAAACTGATAAGGAATGTGTAGCTTGGGCTGGACGATTGAGCACACATGATTTGAGGAGCAAGGATTATAGGCAAGCTGTATCTGAAATTTCCTGGTTAAGGAGGTGAAGGAGGTTCATCAGGTCATGTGATAGTGCAAGTCTATCAGGATTCACAGTGGAAAGACCCAAAATGTGATGAACCAGACCGTGTGTGCCTGACAGTGGGTAGGTTTTAAAGTTGCAGACTTTTTGGTTAATTCCATCGCTGTTGTCTGAAAGCAGCTCTGCTTAAGAGTCATTGCTGTTAGCTGTCTAGGGATCTGAATCTGTGTAATCTTGAGATAGCGCAGTGGAAGGCTGTTGTGATGTATACTTTGATTCGGACTTCTATTTAGGTCATTAAACAGACAGGCAGTTGTCATTGTATCAGTGAAAGCAGTTCTCTCCCAGTTGGATGCCAGAACTTCACTCTATTTAAGGAAAATGAGCCTATTGAGAAAATACTGGTTCAATTTATGGAGATGTTGAGTTTTTGGAGTCTTTGAAATCTTTTGCAAGAAGAGGCCAGTTAGTTTAATGCATGAACCTAGAATTTAAGAGGAAGATCTGGGCTGGAGACATAAGGCTTTGTATTGTGTCACCCAATAGAAATGGATGAGATTGCCCAGGAATGATGTGTTGTATTTTCTATTATTTAGAGCAGGGTGCCAGATAGGGAAGGAAGTGAGACTAAAGGGGCTAACCAAGAGACAGTGGAGAGGCTGTTGGATTGGTGGATTTGGTTAAGATAAAAATCAGGTATAGGGAGAGTAACTGAGTATGAGAAATGGAAGAGTAAAGGGTGCTCAGAGAGTGGGATGGCTGAATTTAATCTTTTAAATCTGGAGCAATTTTGAGTGACACAGTAGTAGGTGTGCCTAGGGAGTGTCTGAAAATGAGGAGAGGCCCTGTGGGAAGGCACAAAGGAGAGGAAGCACAGAGTGGTGATGGTGATGGAGATATAGACGAGATTAATAGGCTTATAAAGTGAGAGAGGACATGAGAAATGTGAGGTATGGTGAAGACAACTGGTCCCAGCTGCCCTCTGGAGAGATAGCTATGGGGTGGGGCACTCGGGCTCTTTTAGAATCAGTCGCAGCCTGGGATAGATGGCATTTTTGAGGGAATACTTGTTGTTGAGGATGTGGCAACTCAGATTTCTGTGGGTCTCCATTGCATTAGTTCTGGAATCAGAGTTGTTGGTGTGCAAACTTACACTAGGGTTGCTGTGTGGAGGTCCTTGTTCTGAGGGGTCTGTACTCCAAGAGTTTTACCCAGTGCAAGGAATCCGTGCTGGCCATTGAGCCTGAATCCCTTCAAGTGTAGCATCCATCCTGTGGAGTTTTCTGCAAGCTCAGACAGGGATGGGGCGAGAATTAGGGCTCTAACTCATTTCTGAGGGCCCTATGGAGTGAATGGAGAAAGGGAGTTGAAGATTGGGAGCTATTTGGGTCATCATGTGTTGGACTGAAAGATTAAATAGAGAGCAGATGAATTCTGACACAAGATCGGAACCCGGGGAGGGACCAGAAGTCACTTCCAAAATTATGAAACCAAGGAGGTAAAATGAGAAGATTAGTAGATCACATGTATTCCAGATAAAACAGAGTAGTGAGATATGGAGAGGGTGAAAAATGGGGTCTAGTTATTAGGGTGAAAGAAAAAGGAGTTTGGTTATGTGGTATATAGTATATGGTTGATACGGTATTAAGAGTATGCCTCCATTTTTGCAGAAGCAATATAATTAAAAAATAAACCAAAATATTGCTGCATTGGAGAACTAGCCCTTGGCAGCTTCTAACCAGCAAGGTGATCTGGAACAATCTATTAAAGTCTACGTAACCCTATCTTCTCATCTGTAAAAATTAAGCAATTGGGTGAGATGATCTCTGAAGTTTCTAGTAGCTCTGTGATTCTACAGCATTTATTCCTTCATCTTTCAGATCCCTGCCACCTTCCCCTTTAGGGCTTCAAATCACACTGAAGGGGTCCACTTTCATGCAAGGCTAGCCCTAAATACTTGTTTTCTTTCTGACACTTAAGATTGAAGTAACTGCAGACATTGGGAGAGGCATAGCTCGTATCCTGCTGAAATACAGTGAATGACCTCACTTCTCTAGAATGGAACATGACTGCATTGTTTATATATTTCTGTTTTGTTACCAGGCAGTCAGTACAGATTTCATTGAAATATTGTGTGTTCATTGGGTTTTGTGCCTCATCTCACTGGCAGAAGAATGTAGTGGTTGATTTGGGGAATGGAGATGGCTGGAAAGGAGGTAAAGAGTGAAGATGGAGAAACAAGATGGCAGTGATGAAGAGAACCAGCGAAGAGAGAAGGCCATGGTGGTGCTGAGAAAGAGTAGATCTTTTCTTCTTGTTAAGAGCACCAGAGGGAAGAATCCAGCTGATCACTATTTAGGGGCATCTGGCTCCAGGAATAACAGACCATCTGGTGTCCAGCTCCTTCAAAATGGTGAGTTTCATAAACATTCTCACTAATTTGACATGGACCCAGCTGCTGCATACCCAGCAGATGTAGTCTGTGAGCATTTCTTGGTGGGAACCGGCCTAATCAAAAGTGAGATATTCCAAAATTGTCTGAGAGGAGTGAATGTGAGAACTGTTCACTTTTATTTGAGAAACTAAGATGAGACAGTTTAGGTGAGTTATTGAAAGTTACACTTTGTTTTCTTTTTGAAATACGAGAGCTGACTTGAACCATGCAAACGATTTTCTTCTCATTTCTGTATTACCACACATTCAGCATGTGTCAGCAAGCTGCTTTTGTTTTTCATTGACTGGCTAAGTACAGAAAGAATATCCTACAAGAAGGGAGAGCAGAGCCATAAGCAAACTTAAAGCATTACTTAAGGCTGTGATGTCTCTTATTGGCCATTTTATAATAGATATTTCTCCATACGACACCCACATCCATCCTCCACTCCCCACCCTTCAGTGCTTCATAGTAACTCACCATGTAAGGAGATGATGGATTTGCTCTCTTGTCTTCCCTTTATCTCATTCCCTTCCTTCTAACAAGCTGAAGTTGGGTGTGAGGGTCATCGGAGGGATTCATGAATTCACCCTAATTTGCCATATCTGAATCACACCTTATTTTAAAAAAAAATTCAAATCCCAACTTTATAAATGTTGCAACAAATGGCTTTCACTGCTACTTTTATATGCATCATGGAAGCAGACAAAAATATCAGAGGTCCCTTTTGACTCAAAAACTATTAGGTTCTGATTCTTTTGTGATTTTTCATGGAAAGTGAAAGTGAAATGACTGATCAGTGACTATAATTGGCATGGGTAGAAAAATCAGAGAAAAGATGTGATATGGGCAAAATAGCCTGGGAAGAGCCAAGAAACTAAAGAGAATATAGTTTTAGAGTATAGCTTGAGTTGGATATTTCATAATCTAGTATTGGACAGAACAACTTAAAAAATTTTTTCCATCTATTATTCAGCACCAGATCTAGTAAGTTGTTAAGCTTCAATGAAGCTTTATATCATTAAAAATAGCCAGAGAAACTTTTTTTTAATGTGGGAATGATTAAAGAAATGGAAGAAATTAGGGACAATTATACAAGAAATGATTCTCAGTCAACTTTGGTTACTTCACATTTATCGAGGAAGGCTTCAGAAAGCTTGATTTAAATTCCGCATCTGAGAGTAGGAAGAATTACTGAATTCCAGATAACCTGGAGTACAGTTCTACAAGTCTGTCATGATCTCAAATTCATGCTGTGTGGATACTTTTTCACTTAAGAGTTGATACTAGTTACTTCATGATTGGTGTACCAGGTTATAAGCAGAAAGATCTGAAATTTGAAGCAATAAGATGGATAAAGATTGTCTACTGAAATAAAATCACACAACGTGAGAGTTGTGGGTTAACTTTTACTTGGGGCAAAATGAGGACTCCAGTCCAGGAGACAGCATCTTAGACAGCTGAGAGAAACTGTTCCGAAGAGGTGGGGGAAACTCAGATTATATATGATTTCAGTGAAGGGGGCACATACAGTCAAGCACACACCTAGGCAGAGGCTTGCTGCTCATCATGAGGAGCAGGTGTCACTATTAATGATTTTAGTGCTTTTCTAGATATGAGGACACGCAAGAACTTGGGCTTATAAAATCTTCTCCTGAAAACATCTATCTGAAGGCCTGTTCAGCCAGTTTTCCCAGAGCACAGAGTGCTTCGTCCCTGGTCTCCCCACTGAACTTTCAAGGTGTGTTGGAGGTCAGTGGCTGCAGTGGCTTGTAATTTAATCCAAGCAGAGGTAGATGGCAAGTGCCAGCATGATTCAATCCTTGTAGAGGCAGGTGGAAAATGCCAATTTTTAGCTGGAAAGACAATGAAGTATCTGGAACTATTACAAAGAAAGTTTCAGAAGAAGTTATTTAATTTAACTGCTTAGAAACCATTGTTCTTCTTAGACTTAAAAAAAAATCCTGCTTAGAAAACATTGTTCTTAGACTTAAAAAAAAATCCCTTCGGCTACATTACTCCTTCTACTCTTTTTCTTCCTTTTCTTGTGCCCATACTTAAAATTATTCAATTACAACCCGAGCAGTAATCTGCTTACATATTTCTGGGCACAAAGGAGTTATGCCCTCATGTGTGGAAACCAGTCTTAGTTCAGTGGGAAGGGAATTCAGTTTGGCTCTCTAGACACCAGAGGAAGTCCAGGATTTTCCTCTTATGTCTGACTTTAAGTGAATCATTTAACTTTTCTGAACTTAATTTTATCATTTGTAAAATCAAGACAATAACACTCCATGAAGTTCTTAAGAGGATTATATAAGGTGTATATGGAAAATACTGAACTCAGTAGATTGCTACTCAGTTTGTAATTAATCAGATTCAGAAACTGAAACAAACATGTGGTAACTCATCTAAGGTCCTCTAAGGCAGAGCTCACACTTACATGTTTTCCTGAAGTGCCTTGAATTACATCACATGGCAGAGTTCTTTTTTGTGTGTAAATGCTACCTTTAGGTGTAATCGCTTGTTAGCAACTGGTTACTTTCTTTATTTCTATTTTCCGGTTAATTCTGGGAGGGAAAGTTCTGGGACGACAGTTTTTTGTCCTCCAGGCAGCATTTTTCTTTTGTTCTGATGCTTCTTGTCATACCTGTGAGATATTCTTTCCCCCTAGGTGTTGACCTTTATGTTAACGTGGCAATGAGGTACTGTAGCAAGACTGGAACTCCACAGAGGGTAAATAAATGTCACTCTTCAAACAGAAACCAGCATCAGTTCTAGAAAAGAAAACCAAGATTCTCAGCTGGTCATGTTATTAGAAACAATAGGCTCTCTAATAGTAGAAAAGGTGTCACATAAAGATCTACACGGGATACAAGATAAAACTGAACTACCGAAAAACCTAACAAGGCAGTATTTCCCAAGGTGATACGTTATTTGCAAAGGGTACTAGGAACAACTAAATTTATTACTCCACATCATCCCTTAGGATTAGGATCTCAGATGTCAGGAAAGAGATCAAGGTCAGAAACCCAGGTGGTACTCCTATTACACCAGGCCATCATACCAGTCAGGTATCAGCTCTAGCACCAGCTAATGGGTATCAAGAAAACTTTGCCCAAGTTGGGACAGTTCAAGCTATTGTTCCTTAAAGTCAAACATCGTAAAGATGATTTTGCTAAATTCACTGTTAGGTTTATTCTACTGTGAGCTTATTTTCAGACAGTATCACACTTGGATTGGCTGTAAGTAGTTCTTAGTAATTCTTGGATCTTGATTTTGGCTTTTCTTACCATTTGAAGAGTGAGTCTGAGAATGGATAGATTTCTGTTTATGGGTCATAAAATAGCGTTGAGTATTTCTAGCATCACGTCAGACATTGAGGCTTTGAGGGAAGAAGCAGACTTATTTCAGTTCTGGCAAAGTTTTCTGTATGTATTAGTTCATGCTAGAACTTCGTCTCTGACAAACATGAGCACCATCTGGATTCCTGACACTGGCTTTGTTCCTTCTCTCTGAGATCAACTTTCAAAGCAAACAAATGCTGCCTAGAAACGTGTGTGTGTCTCTAGGGAAAGGGGTGTATTCCTGAGATATGTTCCATATGTTTTCTCAGAAACTCCTCAGAGGAGATCAGCCCTAGGTGCCCACACTGATAACCCACTTGTTTACACATCCTTTATCGACTTTTCTCCTTTCCTTGTCTTACTTTCCTCACTATCTCTGAGATCACTTCTCAGGTAAACTACCTGTACCCAAGTGCTTCTGCTTCTGCTTTGTGTAACCCAAACTAAGATAAAACCATTAAAAACAAAACAAAACCTCCTTGGGGGATGAAAATCTAATGCAAAATGTGCTCATACTACTTGAAAAAACATCCACTTTTTTTTTGTAAGAAGAGAAACCATAAGTAAGCCAAAAGCCAAATTGAAAAAAGAAAGCCTAGATAGTTGTCAAATCTCACACACACACACACACACACACACACACACACACACACACACACACACACACACACACACACACACACACATTCAGGTTGTCCTACACAGGTAGAAGATAGTTTGAGTAAAAGCAAGGAACTTACTGAAACACAAAACCAGAACGTAAAAATTATAAGTAAGATGAGAGGTGATAAATTAGAAGTTAATGTGAACTACAGTCAAGAAAAAGGCTGAAGAAAAGAAATAAGATGTGTTGGAATCTGGGGAGATTAATACAATGAGGATGAGGTAACACAATTTTATTTTGGTATGTGCATGATGTGTGTGCTTTGTAAACTATATATTGAAATTCATACTCAAGGTGTTGTCAACAAGTTGCATTAAAGAATGGTTGTCAATGAAATAGATGACATGGGGGAAAATACTACACTAGAAGCTCTCTGGGTATTTTTTATCCTAGTTTCCCTGAATTTTATGACATTTGGCAGGTCAATTCATTTCTCTGGATATGTGTTTCCTTGATCAACATGAACTCAAACTTTATAATATATATGAAAAGACATTGAAAATATAAAGTTCTGTGTAAATATTAGAGTTTATTATTAAAAAATAAGAGGTAGGATCTGAGAATTAATGTTTACTACTCTTAAATTCATCTTGGCCTCAAAGATGTACACCTCAAGAGGGTAGAACTTTGCCAAATCCAAGGTTCTCTGAGTGATACTTTTTCCTTTTAAAGGATACACATACCTAAGTTTCTTTATTCACTTATAATTATTGTACAATTAAGTGTCTGATTTGAAGAAACTAATGTCTGATTTACTTTTCTTAGAGTAAATCCCAAACACAGCATTGTTCCATCTCAAGACGACTTAGCAAAATGGTAGCATGTACCTCTGGAAATCTGAAAAAGTTCTGAGTTCTCCCAAGGGCTCCAAAGAAGGATGGTGCCACTGTCCCCTGGTGGAACCTACTTCTCCTAGATTCTTCTAGGATATCCTTGAATGTAGATTCCTATTATATACTCAGAATTGTGAA